ATATATATATATATGCCAAAAATTGTCATTATATTATTCTTCCGAAAACACCCTCTACATGATGCTATGTAGGCCATGTTTAACATAACCCGTAAGGTTCTTTTTTGTATTACAAAAATTTTTTGAACATCATGACTACATCCCCAAAACAAAATTCCGTACTTTGCCACCGATTCGAAGCTGGAATGATATATTATTTTCATTGAGTTTGGGTGGAGATATTTGTTGAGAGATCTTATAGCATAAAGCACCCTATTGAGTTTCATACATAGATCTTCTATATGTTCTGACCAGGTCAGAAATTCATTGATATATAAACCAAGAAACTTTGATTTTGATGTTATTTCTCTCTCTTTTGTAGCTATTTTGATTGTCGGTGGACATTCCAACTGCAACTGTCTTGAGCGAAACAATACTGTGTGGGTTTTTGATTCGTATATATAAGTAATGAATCGTGAAATGAAAATACAATAAAATGATAAATTGATGGATGTATATTATTGCGTGGTAGAAAATCATAATGAAGAAAAGAGAATTGAAACTTTCTGTTTTTTTACCACTTTTATCTGTCCTTATAGGATGAAACTGCAGTAACGCTGGTTACAAATAAAATTAGTAAAAAACATAAAAAGTTTCAATTCAATTCAAAAGTTTCAATAAAATGAATAAAAGTTTTCCTGATATTATAAAAAGGTGTTTTACATTACCCTCATCAGAAAGTCTTATTTTCACATAACAGATCTAATTTAATTATTAAAATACTGACTGCGATTGTGATTCTTGAGATGTAGTAACCAGTTGCTCATGCCCTGTTTTTTCACTGTCTGAAAATGTTTGTTTCTGGTATTTAGCACCACTAGCAGTGATGAAAAGGAACTCAAAATAGGTTTTCGTTTTCTAAAAATTTCATAGCTCTACTATATTTTTTTTTTTTTGGTTTTACAGGACGAAGAACCAGGTAGCCAAAGGGAAGACACTCTTAATATCGTCAAACAAATGATGAAATCACGAAAACTTGTTATTAGATTTATGATAATTATTTTCATATGGGGAGTGATTGCTTTCGTATTTTATGGACTTTCCGTCAACTCCACAAGTCTTGGCGGAAATAAATATTTGAATTTCGCTCTCGTCAGTCTGGTGGAAATACCAGGATATACAATTTCATGGATTTGTATTCGGAAACTTGGCAGAAAGATATCACTAGCTGGATCCCTGCTACTTTGTGGAGTTACCTGCACATTAACGATCTTTATCAATACAGTAACAAGTAACTGGACAGTTGTAACCCTCTTTCTAGTTGGGAAACTTGGAGTCACATCAGCTTCTGGAGTAATTTATGTTTATTCTGCCGAAACGATCCCTACAGTAATAAGAAGTGGAGGAGTAGGAACAGCTTCAACAGTAGCTCGGATCGGACCGCTTTTAGCACCATTCGTTCCTTTGTTGGTGAATATATTTCCCTAATAATGATAAAACGTGCTATTCAAATTCGAGTATATGCATGGAGATCTCGTGAACAGTAAAA